TGGCTCACTGCAACCTCTGCCTCCCGGGCTCAAGCAATTATCGTGCCTCAGCCTCCAGAGTAGCTGGGACTACAGGTGTTTGTCACACGCCTGGCTAATTTTTTTTTTTTTCTTGAGACGGAGTTTCACTCTTGTTGCCCAGGCTGGAGTGCAATGGCGTGATCTTGGCTCACTGCAACCTCCGCCTCCCGGGTTCAAACGATTCTCCTGCCTCAGTGTCTGGAGTAGCTGGGGTTACAGGCATGTGCCACCACACCCGGCTAATTTTGTATTTTTAGTATAAGCATGGTTTCTCCATGTTGGTCAAGCTGGTCTCAAACTCCTGACCTCAGGTGACCGCCTGCCTTGGCCTCCCAAAGCGATGGGATTACACGCATGAGTCACCGTGCCTGGCCACACCTCGCTAATTTTTTGCAGTTTTAGTAGAGACAGGGTGTTGCCATGTTGCCCAGGCTGCTCTCGAACTCCTGAGCTCAGGCAATCCACCTGTTTCGGTCTCCCAAAGTGCTAGGATTACAGGCGTGAGTCACCATGCCCAGTCTAAAAGTATACTTTGAAGCTCTTATAGACAGTGTAAGTGTTGAGGTTCCCAGGCTAAATGTTTTCCTACTCTTCCAGGGCCCTGGGAAATCCTGATATTACCTAGAAGAAATCTTTATTCTCTTTGTTCTAGGAAAGTCCAATATGGGTGGCTCTCCCAAAACAGCTGTTGACCAAATCAGAGAGATCCTGAATATCAACCAGAAGAGGAATGACTATCTGGGTGAGCCCCTGCCACTGCCACCACATTTGTGCTGCTCCTGCAGAGGTCACGATATCTTCAGCCAGGGATCCCAGCATCTTAGCTCTGGTCCAGAGCCACACGGTTTTATTTCTGCGTCGTTCTGTACAAAGGCAACTGAGTATCATGTTGAAGAGTCTGGAGTCAAACTACTGCCCATGGTCTCAACCTTATCTTCTTCTTCTTTTTTTTTTTTTAGACAGTGTCTCACTGTCACTCAGGGTATATTCCTGGAAAGATGTCCACCCATGCTGGCCCAGAAGCTGGTCCAGAAAGTAAAGATGTCCACCCATGGAGTGCAGTGGTGCAATCATAGCTCACTGCAACCTCAAACTCCTGGGCTCAAGCGATCCTCTCAACTCAGCCTCCCAAAGTGCTAGGATTACAGGTTTGAGCCACTATGCTCAGCCCATCTTTACAAATTGTTTAAAATTAATTTTTAATTTTTTGTTTTGAGACAGAATCTTGCTGTGTTGCCCAGGCTGGAGTGCAGTGACTGGATCTCAACTCACTGCAACCTCCACCTCCTGGCTTCAAGCGATTCTACTGCCTTAGCCTCCAGAGTAGCTGGGATTACAGGTGTGTGCCACCATGCCCGGCTCATTTTTGT